CAAACTTTCTAGCATTGGAAATGGCGAAGAAATTTGGGACGTACGGAAGCTTAACTTTTGACCTACAATCTTGAGCTAACTCTTCTTAAACTCAATATGTCGAGCTGAAATTTTTACTGCGAGGTGTCTAGCTCGAGATACATCTGTACCGAAAATTTCATCAAGATTGGGTGCTCGAAAAAAAATTTAATTTTTGAGGGTACCCTATCTTAATTAAGTACATCAGAACAATTCCCTAGTAGCTATTATGTTACTATTGTATGAAACCATAGTGTCTTTTCAGTAAATATATGACCAATATCTTTACAAGATAATTATGTTTTATGTTTGATATTTTTACAGTATAATACGTCAATTAATGCTTCATTTTTTCTTAATTATATATACGCTTTTGGTCTATAAGCAGAGTTAAGACTATAAGTTAAATTGGTATGAAGATGAAAAAACAATTTATTGTCGAGATAAACAGTGATAATAGATATAGTATTTTCTGGTATTTTCTAGAAACTGTTTAGAATGCAAAATTGAGTTCGATATTGTAGAAATGTTTGTATGAATATAATTATGATTTTCTAATTAGAAAACCGAAACTTGAATTTCGAACTTTCTTAAATATCGTATTTTCAATAAAATCGAAATTGATTGTCGAATTCTTATGGTCATTCCTACAATATCTTTTTCTGTGCCCTAGAACTTATTTTCTATTTTGCAGTGTGTATACCAACCAGTGTTGGCTCTTCTAGTATTCTGTATTCAACCACGAGCGCCACCACTAGTTATGTTTGCCATGCTTTTGAATGGACCTCGCCCAAAACAGGCACTGTCAATCTTGCGTTTCAATTTTTTGCTAGCACCAATTATTGGTACCTGGATGATGTATCAGTGTACACGAGAGGTTATCAAATACTGTTAAACGGCGGCTTTGAAGCAAACTCTTGGTCACCCGGCTGGATAAGAACTGTAACAAGTGGGAATTGTGGAATCTCAGGAGCAACTATTAGAAGTGGTACTGGTTCGGCACACAATGGAACCTATTACGTTACAGAAGGAAGCAACACGTGTGGTGATCGTATAAGTCAATCCATTGTTGTTACTAAAGGACAACGTTACATTGTGACCTTTTGGTTAAAGAGGGGTACAGGCGCAACTGGACTCAATGCTGCAGTCACTCTCTCGTAATTATATTCATTCGTATCACATGACATTCTCTTTCAATCAATACTTAACTCTTATTGACTCTACCCGTAAAATACAAGGGTAACTAGAAAGCATGAAATAAACTGTATTGCTAATGGACAATTTTTCCCTGAGATGAAAACTCTAAATATTTTAGATTAGTCATGGACCACAGAAAAGAATCGTCAAGACACATGACTTCGACATGAGACGTCACTGTGTATTGAATTGACGGAATACGAAAATGTGTGAGTGAGGATGTTGACGTATGATGTGAATGTGGGCATGATTAAAAATAAAGAAAAATAAAATTTCAAGCTACTTATGACGTGTTTCGACCTTGCTTAAGGATCATCATCAGCTAATTGCGAAATTACAATACACACTGCTAACGAATCACAATAAAAGAATATATAAAAATTTATAAGAAATATTAGAATGACAATAATGCTAATAACTTTCAACTATTTTCGAACATGTTTAAATATGAAACAATAAGAAAATAACAATCTTAAGATAATATAAAAGATTGTTTTGTCGCAGAGTCATAAAATAAATTATATAGATATACATCAGAGATGGGCAGCTCCAGTCACTTCTCGCTCCAGTTTCACTCCAGCTCTAGTCACTAATAAGTCACTCCGCTCCGACTCCACTCCAGCTCCAGCGTCAGCTAAAAATATCTGCTCCAGCTCCGCACTAAAACGATTGTCTTAGGCAATTTTTCGAAGTTTGGTAATGTTCAGCAAAATTTTTGCATTTTATTTAAACTTGTAGATGTATATAGAATACAAAAAAAGAATAAACTAATTTAAAAATATTTAAGTTAGCTTGATTCCAATATGAACAGTATTTACAATGACAAATATAATAATGAACTAGAGCAAGTGCCGATTGCATTTTAATAAAGTTAGAATAGACAGCATCTTCTCAGAGAGCCGACTACAATGAGGACGCATCAATATACCACTCGACGAAAACGCGCGTTCAACTGGAGCAGAAGTAGCCAGTATACAAAATATTCTTGTAGCAAGTCGATGCAAATACAGATAGTAACTTTTCTTCATAAAGATCAAACAAGTATCATTACTTTGACATAGCAAAGTTTGTTTGTTCAACTTTCAGTTGAATGAGGAATTTTGTTTTGTTCTGACACTATTTACTTTTCATATAGTTTATATTATTGAATTTTTTCTCTTCAATGACATCGTGTTCGCACATTTTAATTTTCAATAGCGCAGCCCGATCAGCCATGGAATAATTAATTAAATGAACGATCAGTCATTATCTCAAATATTCATCGACCGACGAGTAAGAACAATATATTCACTTCAGTGAATAGTCAATGATGAGCTTCTCTCTCTCTCGCTAACTTTTCTGTGTTTATTCACAGAACAATGAATCGAAAAGTAGACGTACAAAAGAAAATAAAGAAAAAAAATCGCTCCGACTCCGCTCCAGCTCCGATCTGAGTAAAAAAACACTCGCTCCGACTCCACTCCCGCTCCACCGTTTTTACGAATCGCTCCGTTCCCACTCCGTTCCAGGAGCGGAGCTAGCTCCATGGAGCGAGCGTTCTCGAGTCGGCGCTGCCCATCTCCTATACACATATGTACATATAAAGAACATATACGTATATCGGCTTGTCCAAACGTAATGCTGTGACCTTTTTGACACACTTTTTTCAATCATCTCGGAAACTATAAGAGCTTGATTGTTCGTTCAAACACCACTCGACGCAGCTTATCGTGCTCTATTTATGCCATAAAAACGATGTTTTGTTGTTAAACTCTCAAGCTTTTACAAAAGATTTTTGGTCGCGTAACGCTGTAACCTAAAAAGACCCTTTTTCTTCATGGTCGCTTATAAAACTTCGATTTCTTGTGAAATTATTTCTCCCAATGAAATACCTCCAGAGCCAGTTCTGCAGAGCTTCGAACGGGCCTTTAAACGCTAAAAAAAAGTTTCTCCATACTATTTTTGCCCAGATAAAAAATGCGAAAAACAAACGTAACGCTGTGACAGTTTTTTATCGATCAATTTTAAGGGGCATCGCATACTCAGAATGATTTGATTTTTATAAGTGTTAGTCTTTTCTGTATAGCTAATCGTCCTACACAAGACCAAGATCGGTACAATCACATGGAAGCTCATAAACTATATAGTAATTTAGGAACTGTATATGAGTCTACAAGTTGTCCTTATCTACGAATGTCAAAACTAAATAGGCCATTTTGTAAAGAATGAAATTCTGCATCGAATGATATGTCTCTCGGCATTTTTTGAAAACATTTCTTGGTTAAAAAATTCAAAATACAATTTTTGAAATGTTTAAAACCAGATTTTCGATGCCAAAATTTAATTTTTTTACAAAATAAATGCCAAAATCGTGATCAGCATTAAAAACTGCATCTAGTAACTCATTCAGATCTGTCCAGCTCGAAAATTTGTTTTTTCAAATCTTGATCAGCGAGGTAGCGCGTTACGTGGACAAGCCGATATACATATACCTAGGGGTATCCAAAAGTAGTGGCAACGACATTTTAGTACCGCGTAGTAAGCTTGATAAAAGTTTCTTTTTACATAGGATGATAGAGAAAAAAATGCTCTTTCTTTCTATGCTATTTGATCATACTTCAATTGATATCATAACAATAAAGTCCTAATAAGACTAGTTTGCCTATCATGTATAACGGTTATAAAGGGTGACCCATAAATTACCCGTCACTTTTTAATTGCGAATAGCTTTTGACAGGAATAAGATAGAGAGCTGCGATTTTCACCATTCGAAAGAGGATGTGTCACTGCATAGTTCCATGTATTACTCAATGATCTCGAATGATAATCAAATGGTGAGTCACTAATTTTTGGAAAAGTAGTGATATCATATGATGATGGCATAGAGGTTCAATTCTATGAAGTGAATGGGATCTGTGTACCTCCGATCCACGCTCACAATCTCATTCCCGAAAGTTGTATCTTCTTCCATTCCAAAGCTATAGGTGGAACACTAGAAAATGAGACTGTGAGCATGGATCGTAGGTACACATTATCATTTATTCTTCGAATTATAAGTACACGTTTGTATTAATCAAGATGAATCAAATTATGATTTTATTCATATATAGAGTTTTCCAATTTGATAGATGTCACTCATTTACACAAATCTATCTTTTTCTAATGAATCATGGTTTCTTAAATACCAATTGCATTGCATTTTTTATTGTTGTTGATTTCCCTTCGAGTCAACTGAAGATCAAAAATGTTGCTGTCTTAGCTTAATATATACTTTTCTTTTTGGTATATATTTATAATAAATAATTTACCAGATTTATCATATTATATCAAAAAAAAATATTTCGTTGTCGAGTAATAAAACAAGACTATTTTGTTTAGTTTATCGCATTTTCTGTACTTTTTAATTTCACAGTTCAATCAATAAAATAGGAAAATCATGTATTCAACATCTGAATCAAAACTGTCATTGATATATATCTGAAGAATTAGTAACTTAATAAAAGGGAATTCTAATTATAATCAATTGATGTTGTACTAAACAAAAAATTGATCGGCAATTATTTCTTTCTCCAATGATGATTTCAACGAATGTATGTCATTAAATATTAAAGTCGTTATCGAATGATATTTGGTCGAATTGATCTTTTAAAAGAGAAACATTGAACACATTTTACTTCTTTTTTTTTTTGTTACTAAAAAACAGAAATAAAAGTAAATTTATTTTAATTTGAATAAAAGCCAAAAAAAAATCATTCTACACGTATAGATATATATTATTGATATTTGATTGTTTCTATAGGATAACAATGAATTCAAAACTGGTCAATTTGGATCGTGTACCGGTAAGAAGAAAAAAAAATATAAATTAAATAAATAAAAAAATATTTTATTAAATATCTCAAGGCTTATTGTGCTCATGTTAATGTAAATGGTATTCAACGAACAAAAGAAGATTATATTCGTCAACAAATTACAACTATATTTTCATCAAATACATTCGAATCATTACTTCTTAATGTTGAACAATTACGTACAAGACTTTTACAAATGGGATGTTTTCGTGACGTTGCAGTTATTATTGATAAAGCTCAGGGTTTGAAAAGAAAAAAAGAAATTTTTTTTAAAAATTAATATTTCATATATTTAGATTCAAAAGTCGAGAATAGTTATGATATAACATATATAACTGAAGAACATCGACCAATATCTGGAGGAATGAACACAGCTGTTGGACAAAATGAAGGTTCAGTTGTAAGTAAATCAAAGCAACTAAAATTGATTCGCAAAACAATAAACTGAATTTGATGAGTATAGCAATGAAAATTTTGTTCAAGAATGATTCGATGTCTAAGTCTTCATTTCATTTTTAAATAAAATATGAGTAGATATTAGGCAGCGAAATTGGACTACTTTTTGATGACGCGTATCAGGTCAAGAATTACTCAGTGCCTGTCCGACCGGATTCAACTTAGAATGGAACTATTAAAAGTATATCTCTTTGACAAAAAGGATCTCTAAAAAAAAACAATGAAAATCTAAAATCATGGTAGTCGTTTATTACCATAGTGAGTACGAACTGAATAAGGTCAGACAATGCTAATGCTTGAAATAAAACAGCATGAGAGATAAGTCGAATTACTTATTGAACCGAAAGACTCAGATGCGTTCGTGGATATTCCAACTTCTTGAAGACTATCATTTATTAACATAAACTTTTACGAGTAAAATATTCGCTGATCAATTGTAAAGAACCAGATCGGTTATTATTTTTAGTTACATTGTTAATTTTAGTACACAGTTAACACTGTTCTACCTCAGTAGTAAAACTCATACTACTTAACGCAGTTGACAGTGTACCGGACCTTGAAACGGGCCATCCAGTCCAACCCGGCCCAAGTGAATTTTCCTCTCCGGCCGACTGGCTCACGCTTTTAGTCGGACTGGTCGGGCCAGACGTTTTTATCCTTTTTTTTTACTTTTTACCAAACTTCATGCCTGTTTTAAGTAACAGAAATTATTAATAAACTTGTACGAGAGAAAAACTATGCGGATTTCAAGAATGATTAATATGATAAACTATAGTAATTACTTAAACTGATCGTATCTCTCGTCCACATGTAATGTTCTATAGTGCATAAACTATGTTAATTAATGTGAAAATATGATTGGTAGAAAAAAAAATGTCGAAAAAATAAACTATCATCGAGAGTAAGGGATGTAAATAATACTTGATCTAACTATTCAACTTGAATTAACGAGTGAATTCATGGGAAGCAACTTACTTTCTAGAAAAAGGGAAGTTCTGTAGATTTTGGATCATTTTTCCAAGAGAAACCTTTTTTCAATTTTGCTCATCCAGTGAGGTAGTACGAAGTAGAAAATAGTTTGTACGCCGGAAGAAAAGATGTCTCGATACTTACAGTTCAAAGAACTTTAAGTATCAAATTTTTTTTCTACCCTCTGACAGATCGGAATCGAAAGAAAACTTTCACTCAGAAATATGGTGCACTTTTCATTGCTTTACCTCAATAAAAAATTCTTTACTATGGGACATTAAGCTATTCAACTCATCTCATATTGATTTTATTTCAATTTCGACAATCTTGATTAATCGAACTCATCATGACTATCAGCTATTTGCTCTCAAGTACATTGGTAATTACCGAAGCGATCTTCAAATCCTATTGGAAAAAAATCTTTTTAAATGAAGCTTCCTTCGAACCCGAGCCGGGCAGGCAGAGAAAACTCAACGGGTCGGGCGTACTTAAACAATACCTCGGCCACTTTAGGCTGAGGTGGACCATGAAAAAGCGGCCTATTTGAAGCGCTGTAGTATAATTGGCCTTGTGTATAGATGAAGAATGTTATCGAATTGAATAAATGCTCTGCGTTTATTTATTGGCTAAATAATACTTCCAAAACGCTCACATTATAAAGATTTCTGATTGTTGCCAGGCACAAAACCCATGTAAGAAATTTTAATGAAAAACCAGAATAAAATCAATTATTTTTTTGAGTAAAAATCGATTAAAATGGTGCTTTGCAGTTCTGATTGAAATCTGATTTTTTCGCTTTAAACATAAATTTCAAATGATTTTAGCTTTTTTTTTTGATTGATTAATATATTTTTATTAATTGAAATAATTTTTTTTAAATCGATTAAGAAAGATTAAAATCAAATAAAACCTATCTTTCAATGTTGACAAATCAGATTTCTATCGTATTCAACTAGTACCATCTTAATCGATTTTCATGGTTAGAAAAAAATCGATTAAAATCAGATTTTTTCTATCTTCTTAGGTGGAAAATTTGCATTGGAAAAACAAATAAAGTTCGTGTCAGACAGCTCGTTTCAAATCCTAATAGATGTTTAAAACGAATCTGAATTTAAATGAGATGTATAGAAGTATTTTGAATTTCTTTGGATGTATAAAGACTTTTTTGACAACTGTATTCAACCATACATTACTAAAACAAAAAGATTGTGGATTGAACTCAGTAGTTGAATTCATACGGATAGTAAAATAATACTATTCGAATTTGAAAAACGATTAACTTTTTACAATAAAATATCTTGTTTAATTTCATTTTTCTTTTATTTTTGAGTTGATATTCAACTCTCAAAAATTTATTGATACTTTTGGAGGAGACATTGTTTTCTGATAAACGTAAATTTTTAAAAGTTAAGAATATTATTGTTCATTTTAACAAGATCCATCAAGCTTGGGATGGGACCGACCGGTTTTCACTAATTTTCTTATCATTTTTTATGCCATTGAAGCTTGTCGATTTTGCGCATTTTTATCGACTTTCATGCTCTTAATATTTCAGAAATATGAGCATTCAAATTTCCAACTAAAAAATAATTTCGTGTTGTCATCGAAATCCCAACTCTAAATTTTGAATTCGCACTTTCTCATAGTGCAATTATGACCTCGAGTCATATAGAATGTATTGATTATGGTTATGAAAAGTAAGCCATCTATGAGAAGTTAAGTGTGATATAAGCTAAACATTTTCAATCTCGAAATTTCGAATTCATTTTTGCTTGGCTGCTTTTAACCAACTGTCAGAAACTCTTGATGGCTAGTAGTTCCAGGTCATGCTCTCGTTACATAAATGTCTGACACGATTACGTTTTGTTCTGAAAATTTTGCCAATTGCTACCTCATGCAACTGTGATAATATTTAGGTATTAAGAAACCTAATAATATGAAGCCTTATATAAAAATTCAACTGCGTAGCTAATATTGTCTTCCTATAGGTAGTAGTAGGCTTATATGAATTGAAAAGCCTTTCAATCGTGTCAAACAATGATTTCAAACAAGAAAACATCGAACTTATCAGTTCTGATGAAGCAATTTTATTGAAGAAAATCAGGCAAAGCATAGATGTTGTTCAATATCAGTTGTTGAGTTATTAGATGAAAAGTTTTGAAAGAGTTCTACCTTCATTCTTAGTATTAGAGTATATAGAACATGGTAGACTAAAATTGAAGTTGTTACTATTAGAAACTTCAACGGTTAGACGAGTTATACATAGTATGTCTTCATGAAGCTGTACTAATAAAATTTTTCTTAAAAAAAAACTAGTAAATTAATTGATATGTTTAAATGTACCGGTATTTCATTGGTGAATTCTTTAATTGAACTAATCACTCCAATTCAATTGAAAAACATTCGACCGATTTCAAGTTTGCGATCTATAAAATGAGATTATTGAATATTTGTTGAAAATATGAAACTGAATTTCGTAAAATAGTGTTATTTATTATTTTAGTGTACTAATTTCTCCTTACCAAATCTATTTGGTCGTGGTGAAAAATTAGGTGTTGATTATTCATATAGTAATCGTGGTAATACTGAAGGACGAATATTTTATTCAATGCCAACAAAACTTGATCCAAATAAACAGTAATTAAACTTTTCTATTTTTAATAATCTAAACTTTGTTTTTGTTTAGATTTTCAATATCTTTATTTCGAAGTTATTTTGATAATACATGGAGTTCTTTTAAACAAGATGACCACGGAATAAATATATCTTATAATGTAAAATAAAAAAAACAATGAATTATTGAGTGTGGCAGAACAAATAAGTCTCTCAGTTTTTTTGAGAATATCTCTCTCTCAAATTGTGACGTATATATTTGAATCTTTTCTCAACAGGCAGTCCGTGTAATACTCTACGAAAATGTATGAAAAGAGCTCTTCCAACGAATAGCTATGGAGTTATATTCGGTTAACCCTACAAATACTCCAAAATGGTTCTTTTTCAAAATACTCATTTTCATATTAACGGTTTTGCGCCACTCTTTTGACTATCTATGAAGAGACTGAATAGACTATTTTTCAGTCCATGAAAATCTCTACTAGTTTAGTGAATACTTTTTTTGATATACTATAAATTTACCCGAACAAAATCTTTTCTTTGTTCTTCTATATTCGTATTGTGAAAGTCTTCTATTAACGTTCATTACAACTTTAGTTTTGTTATGTTAAATGGAATACTGTTACATATTTAGATTTACTATTAAGTTGAAGGAAAATGTTTTTCTTTTCATCATTTCTATACAAGCAAAATGTTGCAAAGTATTTTTTCTGTAATATTTGAGGTTTATAACGAGAACGATCAATGGTTCCAATATCTTCTTTTGAGCTCTGTTAGAAAGACTAAACCTAAAAATACAGAAAATTTGCATTAGAATAGGGTTTCGTGTCTGTTTTGTCAGAAAAAGTGAAATCATCAGTTTTATAAAAATGAGCTTTTGAAAGTGGGCTATTTTGAAGCATTGTAATATTGACCAGATATCATTCCACAGCTATTTGTTAGAAGAGCTCTTTTCAAAAGGGTTTTGTAGAATATTGCATGGATTGTCTTTTGAAAAAAAGATTCAAATATATACGTCACAACTTGAGAAAGATACTCTCAAAATACTAAGAGACTCATTTATTCTGTCGAACTCGATATTTTTTCATGATAAATAAAAAAAAAGAGTTTCTTTCTTTAAAGATTCCTCTTGGTATTGTGCCTAATGCTGTCCATAGTTTTACTTGGGAAGGTGTTTGGCGTTCAGTCTTAGCTGCAAGTTCAGCAACATCTCTTGATGTACGAAAAGATGCTGGTCATACATTAAAATCATCATTAAAAGTTTGTTATGTTTTTTTTTCATATGTATAATTAAATTATATCAAATTTATTTAGTATACAGCTACAATTGATAATCGAGATCATCCAGTAATAGCACAACGCGGATCTTTCTCTCAAAGTTCACTTGAATTAGCTGGTCTTGGAGGTGATAGTCAATTTGTTAAATGGTCAACACAACATCAAATTAATTTACCATTACCATTAAAATCGATTTTTCAATGGTGTTTTTCAGCTGGTGCCATTTGGCCTCTTTTACAAAGAGGAAATCAAACGATTAAAATAAATGATCGATTTTTTCTTGGTGGACCTTTAAATGTTCGAGGTTTTGATTATCATGGAGCGGGACCACATAGTGAAGGTTAAATAAATTATTTTTTCATTATGAGTAGAACAAATGTTTCTGTTTTCTTTTTTTATTTAGGAGCAGCGTTAGGTGGTGATTGTTATTGGGCAACGGGTCTTCATCTTTATTCACCTCTTCCATTTCTTTATCATCGTGAAAATTTAATGTCTTATGTTCGTCTTCATTATTTTCTTAATGCTGGAAACGTATTTAATACTCAATCTGTTCGTAAGTATTTGTGTATTTTTTTAAGAATTTTTTATTATTTATTTTTTTAGGCTCAGCACAAGCATTATTGTCTCAATTAACTAATGCAACTCGATTATCATGTGGTCTTGGTGTTGTATTGAATTTAATGAATGTAGCTCGCCTTGAACTGAACTATACCCTTCCATTATGGACACAAGCACATGATCGGTTAGTTTTATGTTATAAAAGATTTTATATTACTATATTATTGTTGTTTTTCTAGAGTGATCAAAGGTTTTCAATTCGGTGTGGGATTTACGTTCATTTAAATTTCATAGAAAATAACCTTTATTAGACTTTGTATCTTCTTTTCTTTTCTTTTTTTTCTTTTTTTGAGCGATATGTAGAATTTTTTTCTTACATATAGAAACATTTTATACCGAAAAAAGAAGATGTGTAGACTTTGCACTTGAAAGAATGTATTTGGCACTGATGACCTTATATTAAATTTAATTTAGATGAAATTTTAATATTCTCATTGAGAATTCAGTTAAATAGTCCTGGGAACGATGATTGTTTCTTGTTCTGTTTTTCATATTTTTTTTTGTCGGTTATAGATGACAACAAGATAAACGCTACCATGGTTTTACGTCATTGCATATATAGATATAATGACTTATAAAGATAGAGTAGACTCATTTATTTTATTTTAGTCTTCATATTCAGTGCTTGACAACATCTGTACCGTCGAATATAAGAGATATTATATTTCTACAAATGTAGGAAAATCAGGATTCAATTGTCTTAGATGAAAAAAGAGTTTTTTTAGTTTTCTGAGAAGAGACGTTTAGATTATTTTTTTGTTTGTCTCCTTTTCACTATTGACAATTATCAAAACAAAATGTCATTTTTACTTTTATTATTAGATTTTTTTCAGAATAATTGTAACATAGTTTTAGATTATTATGGATATAAAAGCAATAGACATGTGACTAATTATTTTTCATTAATTATTCATAGTTTGCACCATTTAATCAATAATTACCTTTCATATTTATTTTTCATTCTAATTAATTGGTGTTTTTCTTTATTGAAAAAGCAAAACAACTGATTAAAACAGCAATGTTAGGTGCACAGGTTATTGAGCAAGCATTTATTCGAGGATTACGCCAAGAACTTCAATATAATGAAAAAGAAGACAATTATTTTTTCTAATTAAAAGAAAATCTATTCAAATCTAGATGCTAAGACTGTGACATATAGTGATCAAATATCAGCAAAAACAGTACAAACTGATTTATGTTATTGGTATGGCTTTGTAGATAAATTTCACTTTTTTTCTATAATACTTTTTAAATAGATTTTTGTTATTTAGGAAGCTAAGCAAATTTCAAATTTAACTGTTAATGATCTAAAGGATAGTGACAAAATGAAATAAACAATATGAACATTTATTTAATTTAAATGATAAAATAAAAGGTGGTTCATTTTATTTACAATGAAAAAAACTTATCAAGCAAAAGCATGTATTGATGAAAAATTTAAAGTATCATTTTCATCGATGAAAAATGCTAGTTGAAATAAACAAAAAGAAGACTCTAATAATATAAATTCAAATTAATTGTTTCTTTTTTTTTGTGTTCCATTTTATTTGTTTCTTTATGTAAAAATTATTTTAGATAATCATAATGGCAGATGATCAACCATGGATGATACTTCAAGATAAGGTTGATGTCTTTGATAAATTATCAGCTTTTATTTACTGTGATCGACGACAACATTTATTTGTATACAATTATCCAGCTAATAGAAATACAAGTATTTCTTCATCTAGTTCAACGACGAGTGTTCCTGATTCTTTAAATACATGTAATGTACGTTCAACATATGCTGCTGATGCACAAATAGTTAGTAAGTATCAATTTTTTAGATTTATTTAAAAAGATATTTGAATTTTATTTGATAATATTGTGTAATTATTTTAGTTTATCTTGAACGTATTCAATATATACAAAGAGGTGGTAGTGGTACTAGTCGTCGTTCAGCTCGCGATTACAATCAACTTCCAATAAATCATCAACATAATCAAAATGATCATTATGACCCTCAAAACAAACAATTAGAAATCTATTACTCTACAGATCGACCTCGTTCAGAATATCTTTATAAAAGAATCAGTTTTCAATTGAGGAAACTTGGTGAGAAAATATTTTTCTCTAGTATTTTTCTTTTGTTAATATAAATAATTGTATTAGATGATGAATATGATAAATGGGTTAATGCTCTTTATGCAGTTATTGATGAAGCAAAAAATTTACCTGAAGCATCAAAAAGAAATCGGTAATAATCAATGCTTTTTTTTTGATTTTATTAATACAATATTTTTTGTAATTAGTTGGCTTTTACGAGAATATGAAAAATTAAAAAGATCATCTGGAGGTTTAACATTCGATTCAATAAATAGTTGGCTTAGTCGTCATATTGGTATTGTTGGTGAAAAACAAATTGTTGAAAAACTGATCAAACAAAATGAAATATTTCGCCAATCAAATCAAATAACTGATTCAGTATTTAAAGCAACATATAATTATTTTATTGATAAACAACAAGAAGTTAAATACGACTCATATTAGAATATGAATTATTTTTCTTTTTATTTAGATTCTTATTAAAATTGTTATGCCTGATTTACTAGAAGAAAAGTAATTTGTTTTTTATATATTGATATGTTAATCTTAAACTTTATTTTTATCTAGCCAAATTTCACTTGAGACATTTGCCTCGCATGTTACTTATAATGTAATTGATTTAGTACATCATGAATCAGATAAAATACGACAATATCTAAGATTAAATAAAAGTCAAACAGAAATAACTCTTAAACAAGTAACAAATAATTATAACATTACATAAAATTATATTAATTTTATTAAATTTAGTGTACTGATTATTTATGGTCAGAAGCCAATTCAGCATTTGATCCGATATCTCGTACACAGCATAATGAAGATATGAATCAGCCATTAAATCATTATTGGATATCATCAAGTCACAATACGTAAATATCATTATTGTAGTTATTATTTATTTGATATTTTTTCTTTCTTTCATTAGTTATTTAGCTAAAACTCAAATATTTAATCCAGCTTCTGTTCATTGTTATATTCAAGCTTTATTAAAAGGATGTCGATGTATTGAAAGTAATGAGGGAAAAAAAGATTTTCTTTTTGTTTTTTCAAAATACAAAAAATGTTCTTTTAAGTTGATGTTTTCGATGGTCGGACTGGTAACGAACCGGAAGTGACACATAAAAATACTCGTATTAAATCAATACTATTACGTGATGTTCTTGAAGCTATTCACGATTATGCTTTTGTTACTAGCGAGTAAGGATTAAAAAAAGAAAAAGAATTTTGCCATTTTTTTTTCTGTATTTACTTATTAAACTTTAGATATCCAGTAATAATTTCACTTGAAAATCATTGTTCACCAGCACAATGTTATGCTATGGCAGAAATGTTTATAGAAATATTTGATGGTGAGTATTGCACCTAAGAAAAATAAATCAAATTTATAGATTAAAAAAATAACAACTATGTTGAGTAGAAACTCTTATTCAGTCACCTTTATCATCAAATGAAACTTGTTATCCTTCTCCTAATCAGTTAAAAAGAAAAATTATTTTAAAGGTAGTACTGCTCAAATATAAGCTAAGCTGCTTGTTTCATTGACACAATTAATTTTTATAAGAAAATAAACATTTTATTTTAATTAATAGGATTCAAAAATTGATAATATAACAACAATGGAGCCACAACCAAGTGTAGAATCAGACGGACAATTGGATTTTTCAACAAATGATCTTGATGGTCATATCCAATTATATGATTTTGCAAAAAAAGTATGTTTTTTTTTAATTATCTGAATTGATTCATGCTAATTGTTTTCGAGGTTGTTCCCACTTGCTATTCGGAGTGTTAGATGCGTACGGTCATAGAAAATCCCAATATACTCTATCAAAAGGTATACAGATAAAAAACAATAAATCAATGATACTAGTCAAATAGTCTATGTGAAAACTCATTTACTTACGAGAGAAGTCTCTCAACTAATAAATCTCTTTTGAGTCAAGACTACGTGCATTATGTAGAACCAAATGAACTATGAATACTTTAAAAAAATTTCAGATTTTTAGTTTATTGCTGCTGAAATATTGCATTTTTATGGTAGTTTTTAAGTGTAATACTATAGTCCTCATCAGAAAGATCAGGGAAATTAACTTTCGAATTTCGACTCGAAACTTTGAACAGAGATAGTCTTTAATGAAAATAGTTTCTTGTGAATGTTTCATATCTTGTCGTTGTTTCTATCTTAAGATAGAGCCATGGTGAAAGTGTGTCGTCTACATCGCTTGTATATAAAAGCAGCTTCGATGTTCTTATTTCAATATAGAAGCAAACTAAAAGGTCTGAAACTTTCACATTAAACTGCTCTCGTTAAGGATTATTTCTTTAGAAAGGTTTAAGACGAAATTCGAAAATCCGTTTTTCTGATATTCTTGAAGAGGACTATGACATTGATTAAAAAGCTGCTGCAAAATTACACAGCAATATGCTAAAGGTCATAACTCTTTACAGAGTATTTAAAACTCATTTGGGTCTACATTATGCACATAGTCTCGACTAGAGATGTGCGGTACCAAGTTTTTTTCGGTACCAGTCTGAGTCTTGGTTTCGACCTAGAGAAAACTATTCAAGAATTTATTCGTATCACATCTAAGATAATTCTTCAATACTCGTTTTTTGTTTGAATTATTTAGTCGACGACTAGCCCTGTTTTTGGTTATCTCTCTTGGATTATGTTCTGATTCATATGATTTATAAAATAATTTGCTTAAAACTAGAAAATATTTTACTATAAACTTGAATTCTGATCCTAGTCATCCCTAGTCTCGAATCAAAAGTGATTCATCAGTTGGGAAATTTTCCTCGTTAGATGCACTTAGTCGATATTGCTTCAGTATTTAAATAAAGTAGCTAGGAAGACTTATGTATTAAGATTTATTAGACTTATTCAAAACAATAGATCTCGTTTTCCACATCAAATAACAAACTCCGATTAAGCTTAAACTAAAACACTTTCTTCTCTTCATATTCTCTATTTGATGTTGCAATAAATACTGTAGTACACAGTAAAATTCCATCAAGTTAGCGGATAAACAAGCTATAAAATGTGTTTGTCATATTTATCAAGTCGTATCATTAATTCGTTTCCGTTGTGTCTGTCAACATCATAAATTTAGATTCTAAAACTAACACATAGATAGTAAATGGTAACGCTGATAATCAAATACGCAGTTACACACTAAATTTCATGGTGTAATAAATAGAATTTGATGACCAAAAAACAAAAATACTAGTTATACTGTACTCAAATAAAACATGAATAAAACCGGTTTCTTTTGTTGTCACTCAAAAAGAGATTCAATTCTAGTTTCGAGTCATGCAAATAGTATCTTATTATAAAGCTTAAAATTATTTTCCGACACTATCTATACGTTTGAAAACACCTGTTAATTTATTGTTGTTCTTATTAGATGCTTAATTATACATAAACAAGATGAATAGTTTCAGTTTTGATATTGATTTCGATTTACTCATTTTTAATTCACATATATTTATCAAATAAATAAACAATTCAATATTATTTTCATTAATTGAATATGTACAAATTAGAATACACATCATCTGTTGTATTTTTATTTTTAGGCATGGTTTTATTATAATTATTCATTTAAAGATAAAGATTTATATTTGGGTAAAGATCAAGACATACATAAACAACGAAATTCAGATGAAGACACTAGTGATGATGAAAGTAAAGTTAGTTAAAATAATATTTGTGTTTTTTTTTTACATTTGATTTATTTCTTTTTTCTTATACAAAGGATTTACCAGACGATGAGTTAACACAAATTTGGTATCATAGAATAATTCCACATCAAGATGCAGAAGATCTTCTTTTATCAAATGCTGGTTATGAACCTGGAACTTTTTTAGTACGAAAAAGTCCTAATAGAAATTGTTATTGTATTACATTTCTGTAAGTCTTTTGTCTTTTTTTCTTTTGCTTTGTTAAGATTTATTTACAAAGAAATGTATATATATATTTATTAAAGTGCATCAAATTCTATGGTTAAAAGTCTTCAAATCGATGAAGAAAGAACTAAGGATGGAAAAACTCTTTATTCAGTATCACAAGAAAAATTTGAATCAATACCAGATCTTGTTGCTCATTATCAGACATATGATTTTGTTGAAATTGTTAAAGGAACAACAGAAACGGCTCCACATCGATTAGGAAAACCATTACCACGACCAAAATTGCGTCAAGAACTCAAACGACAACCATGGTATCAACCAAATTTAACGCGACACCAAGCTGAAGAATTGTTATTAGGTGTAAGTTTAAACAAAACAAAAAAGGAAACGAGACGAGAGGTCAATAACTGATAAAATCAGTTCCTCGAAAAATTTGATTTCTTCTATGTTAAACTCTCACACAAGATGTCTGAAAGTGATTTCTGATAGAACTTGTCCTATACTACTTGTTTTTGCTTATGCCTAGGCCGGTTGAAATAGTCAATGACTGTCACATCTACAATAAATATGGCTGTTGATAACAATCAGCTTGTTTTATCTATTAGCTTGATGGCTACTCAGGCGAAGTTTAATACGATTTGATAGGGCTTTTCAAGCCCTATAAAATGGTATAAAAATCTAGAGGAAAAAATATTGGCTTCTAAGAAATATTCTAAGGATACTAATATCGAGACATGGTTTTATACTTTTTTGACTGGTATTTAGTAGATTTCAATCAGAAAAAGTGTAACCTCGATGAAAGTAATATGATATTTTAAAACAGCATTCAAAATTAAGTATACCTATGTCAATCTCAAATATTTTCATGAGCTATGTTTGTTTCGTCAAAAATTTCATCGTCTGGTCCCACTCAGCGATGAGTCAAAAAATTAATTGCATCCAAAAATTTTTTCAATAGTCAGAATCAAATTTTACGGTTGTAAATGATAGCTGAACTGAAAACTGCAGATGACAGAACAATAAAACCTGCGTTTTTATGAAATTTATTATTTGACTCATTCCTGACGAAGGAGACACGGAGTGAAGTTTTCGACGAAATGAAAAGTTCATGAATATACTTGAAACTCACATAAGTCTACTCAGTTTTGAATGCGGATTCAGAATATCATATTAGTTTCACCTAGATTACATTTTTTTCTGATCAAAAACTACTAAATACCAGTCAAAAAGGCATAAAATCACGTCTCGAGAATAGTATCCTTAGAATTTTTCTTAAACGCCAGTGTTTTTTTCCCACAATATTTTTATATCATTTTGTAGCAGTTGAAAAACGTTATCGAACCATGTTAAAATTAGTCCAACGGCTGATCAGACTAATTGATCTTGACACTCGATTTCCACAGACAATACACATAACAACTCATAATCGAGGCATATCAAGGCAATGTGTTCTGTGCGAAGTTATATCGGTCAATACTTTTCCTGGATGTTTTTATAACATGTTGTAGTGCTTGAAAAGCCCTATCAAATCATATTAAAAGTCGCCTGACCGATCAATCAAACTAATAAATAAGAAAAAACTTGATTGTCACCAACAGCTGAATGCATTGTAGATGTGACAGTCGTTGACTATTTCAACTGACCTAAGTATAAATACAAACAAGTACTATAGCACTAATTCTACCAGAAATCACCTTTAGACACGTTGTGCAAGAGTTTGACATAGAGAAGAGCAAGTTTTTCGAGGTGCAGATTTCATCTGTTATCAACATTTCCTCCTTTCTTTTTGTTTATTTGTTGAACTTTTTTTCTGCAAAGATTGCTGAAGAAATGACGTTTCTTATACGAGATTCAACAAATCGTCCTCATCAAGTTCATACAATATCTATGTATACAAATGGTGTAATACGTCATACGCCTATATATCTTGATGGTTCAGATTTAATGTTAATGTCATCAACATTTACAAATCTGATTGAACTTGTTCAATATTTTTCTCGTAAACCAATTTTTCGAAAATTATGTTTACAAAAACCTGCAAAATCTTATGCAGATTTTATTAATGAACAACAGCGACTTGCAGCACAAGGAATAAATCCAAATATAATAATTTTTAAAACATTAGAAGATGCAATTCAATTAAAACTTGATACACTTCGAATACGTATGTTTTCTTTTCTTTTCTTTTTTTATTTTTAGATTTAATTATTATCTTTTGAATTTTTTTAGTTCAAGTTGATCAAAAACCTAATGATCAATCTGTTCAAATTCAATATTATATTTATGACGAAAATAGAAAAAGAAATGAAGGCTATTTATTCAAATTCGATACAGTCAAAGATTGCAAGATGTTTTCAGATATACTTTGTCCTGGATCATCACAATTATTACCAATAAACGTACCACAGGATGAAACCATAAATAGTATGCCTAGTCTTTCTACAGCCTTTAAAAAACATACAATTGCTCCAATATCACATCGTCAATCACAAATCTATATAGGAGAATTAAATAAATTAATTGTTTATTGTCAATGTGTTAAAATGAAAGAATATAATATCAATAAAGCACAAGATCTTGGTAAAATATTTTCAGTACTATAATAGAGATTTATTTCTTATTAATTAATTGAAAATATCTATAACCAAAAGATTTGTCATAATCTTCTTATTAAATAATACTTTTTCAAAAGAAGGTTATATAAAAATAAACATTTGAAGATGTTATGATTTTGTTTAAAATTGAATTTATTATTCAATACTTTGAAGAAAAAAAATTGATAATCGTTCTTTTAAGTTTCTTTGTTATAAAAAAAAATATGTATTCAACTTGTCGAAAATATTTTTCTCGAAAGATGAATTTCTCTTTTTCTGTCATTATAATAATTTGACAATACTCATATTATCAAAGTCTCAATAGCAAAATTGTTACATTGAATTCTGAATTCTTTGATCTTTAAGACGAATGTACTCGATAATATTAATTAACTGTTCTATTCAAATGAGAGTATTATAATGAGAAATTTTTCGATTGTACTACATACCTATATTCGATTTTCTTTAAATGTAATAGAAATAGACTTCTTTCTTTTTATCTTTAGAAAAAATACGATCATTCAGAGAAATGGTTTCAATTAATAATACCAAAGCAGCTGCATTTTGTTCGGATGTTCGAGCGATGTTATCGTATGTTTTGATATATACATATATGTAAATCTATATAATAAATAAATATATTTGCTCTTTGTATAGATTTAATCGAGGTCATTTTACTCGTATTTATCCTGATTTTTCAAGAAGAACATGGAGTTCATCTAATTTTGAACCTATTTCATATTGGTCTGCTGGTTGCCAATTGGTAGCACTCAATTTCCAAATGCCTGGTTTGTTTTAATTCAAAATATTTTATACCAATTGTCATTATATATATGAATATATTCAGATCGTCCAATGCATATTAATGCTGGTCGTTTTGCAGCTAATGGCGGGTAAACTTGAGTCCTATATAACACAATTATTCCTCCTTCGAGAAAAGCTTGATTTGTTATTCATATCTTATTTGGTTTTTTTTTATTTTCTAGTTGTGGTTATGTTCTGATGCCAAATAATATACGTTCATTTTGTGATAAGACATCACAAATAGATAGAAAAGAAGTTTCATTAAAAATTCGTGTTCTAGCTGTTCGAAATTTACGTACAAATCAATCAAAAAGTATTTCAAAAGTACAAATTAAAGCAACAATTGTTGGCAGACAAAAACTTCCTGGAAATCAAACTTGTTCAAGTAGATTTCTTTTTTTGTGTAAATAGTTTTTCTTTCTAATATATTTAATTTAAAACAATAGCAATAATTCATCGTCCATGTGGTGGTATTTGGGATTCAAGACAATCATCAAAAAATTCTGATCAACTTCATACATATTATCGTCTTAAATCAGATGATGGTGATGTTGATTTTTTATATTTTGATGTATTGACTGATAATGAGGAATTTTGTGGACAATCAGCTATTCCATTATCATCATTAAGATCAGGTTTGGTTTTTTTTTCGCTTTATTATAATACAAAAACAATCAAATAAGATTTTGAATTTCTTTACTTTTTTTTTGTTGTTTTTTCTAGGCATTCGATCTGTACAATTATATGATAAATTTAATGAATATTTAGATATGAGTACTCTTCTTGTTGATTTGATTTTTAAAGCTAGTATGTTATTTTTCAATATATTTTAATAGAATAATTATATATAAAATTTTGTTTTAGCATAATTGTTCGTCGAACTGAGTACATAAGACCATAATGACCTCAGAAATATGTTTGTTCGAATATTGATAAAGAAAATTGTAATCATCGTTCATGTCTTTTTTTCTTTTATTTTGTTTTGTTTTTGTACACATTTTTTATCGTGGTCTATTTCTTTATGTCTCTTGCTTTCCTTTACATTCTGTGTCTTCAAAAAAAATAGAAGAGTGTAATTTGATTTCATACAAGTCAGTAAGACACAACATGTACACCTGTATATAAGGGAAACAAAGTAATACGAAAGAGAGAGACAGAGAGAGAACAAAGTGCAATATGATATTTCTTCTTTATGTCCTTTCTTGTCTTTGACGGTTTGTCTTTCTAATTATGTTACATCGATGTTAATCTTCTCTCTTTCTTTTTTTTTTTCATCAATGTTGGATACTTTTTCTTCCTCTTGTGAGTAAATTGAAGTATTGTGTCTTCTTTCTTTCACTTTTTTTTTCTTCCTTTCTTCTTTCTTTTCTAGTGAGATCTGTCAATTCGATGTTTCAAGGACAATTAGACAAGAACGAGTGTCAACATACTTCACTTCATCGTTTATTTCTTTTGTCGCATGCTTTGCAGCTGTTAATGTCTGTTGAAAGGTGTCACATAGTAATATGCTACTTTGCTATTCTAATAGAAAGAGAAAAGAACAATGGAAAAGAGTCTCTCTTTCTTCTGCCGTTGTTTCATCCCATTAACAATCCTCCATCATTACCAACGGCAGAACCATTCATACTACTGCTGTCGCATTGATTTTTTGCTATACGCTAGTCGACATTATATGACGCATGCCAGTATATGATCGGCAAAATAGGAAAAAAAAGAACGAACAGAGAAAATGAAGGTTTGCACAGCCCCGGACGTCCGTGCCAATCTGCGCGAGTGTACTACTACAATCATGTTGAATACCTCCTCGTCTTTCCTTGTCTGCTGCTGCATGTAATAGAATGCCTCGTGTTCCCGTCTCAATCCATGTATGTTACGAAGACCCAAAAGAAAGAAAAAGAGAGAAAGAAGGAAAGAAGAACAGAACACTGAATGAAAGAACTAACAAACGAACGAACGAAATATTTTGAATATTACTACACGCCTCTCACATATTCTATATGTGATTATGAAGACCAGACGAGCTTGTGCGATCTCTCTTCTTTTCTCTTCGTATGTATTTAGTGGGTTGCCCCTCGTCATTGTGTTGCTGTATGCTCTGTCGTGTAATACTCGAGCGACTGGAAAAAAGAAAAAAAAAAACGAGAAAAAAAGCGAAACGTTGTTCGATGCAATGCATCTATCCAATATAGAGAGAAAAAAAAAAGAGAAGAACGATTTTTTTTTTGCTTCTTGATAGGAGAAAACCGGGCCAAGGGAAGAGGGTGGTGGGGGAAACGAGAAAGAAAGAAACGGCAAGGCGCGTGCACTAATCATGTCCTTGAACGGCTCGCTCGTGCACTCTCGATGCCATTGTGGGCGTTCGTGGATTCCGGCTGCGCACAAAATGAGAATGAGAAAGAGAAGAAGATGATGATGATGATGAAGCAACTTTTCCCCTGTGTGTTCTCTGTCTGTGTCTGTGTCTGTGTCTCTGTCTCTGTCTGCTTGTCTCTCTCTCTCTCTCTCTCTCTCTCTCCCTTCTCAATTGAAGTCAATCATCAGCTGTATGTTCTAGAAAACGATTCTCTTTTTTTATTCATTGTCGTCGTCTTTCTCCTAATCTAACAAACTCTTCTTCGATGCAACCATTCACACCGTATAATGATCCACAACGATCCATCTGATGTCTTGTCATTATCAGATTTACATGTTGGCATAACGGACGGCAGTCATAGTTCGATGGTTAAACAACATCAGTCTGATTCTCATCAATACCTTTCTAATCATCACAGCGATTCTTCACGTTCATCATCAATTTGTTCGTCTTCACTTTCACCAAAAACTTCATCTTCGACGGCTGTTACACCAACAATAGTGGCGACAGCTGCAGCGCCTGCAGCAACAGTCACAGCTATTTTCACTGATATTGATCCACAGCTGGCTCAACACGTCGAATATGAATTAGGTTTAACAAAAAAGAATGGTAATGGTAGTGGAACACGAAAAAATGCATGGGGAAATTTAAGTTATGCTGAATTAATTACTAAAGCTATTACAAGTAGTGCTGAACAACGTCTAACATTATCAGAAATCTATGATTGGATGATAAAATATGTTCCATTTTTTCGTAATAAAGTTGATAGAATTAGTAGTGCTGGTTGGAAGGTAATTATCTTTAATTTATATTTAGCTTAAATTAAAATTTCTTTTTTATTCTTTTTTTAAACTTGTTTAAAATCTAAAAAACAAAATTTTACATTTTCATTTTCTTTATTTTTAAGAATTCCATTCGTCATAATTTATCATTACATAATCGATTTAAACGTGTACAAAGTGAAGGTACTGGTAAATCATCTTGGTGGATGATTAATCCAGATGATAAAAGTACTAATGGTAACAGTGCATCATCAACTGGTATAAAACAACCACGACGTCGTTTAGGTCAAGGTACTAAATCTTCTGCTGTACCATCGATAACACCAAAAAGACTTCGTACACCTCGTTCAACGAAAGCATCTCGAGCGTTGATTGCAGTTCAACAATCAGAACAACAACATCAAACTGTAGTATCTCAACAAATTCAACCTTCTGATATGTCAATAGCATCAGTTTATGAAGCACAACAATGGACTTCTCAATTAGAAACAGACAATGGACATGATCATTTATATGAACAAGAACTTTATTCAACAACAGTAAGTCCACCAACAACAAACAGTAATGGTAATTCAACAACATGCATTCAGTCAACATATACATATGATGATGGAACAACTAATTATGTGGGTAATACAACATCAAACAATAATAATAACACCGGTGATTATTCATATCATCATCCACATCATTTTCATCCTCATCCTCATCATTCACATACACTTTATCAACATCATCATGGGTCAAATTATGATACCGGTTCAACAAATAGATATTATCATCAACAATCGGTGCTTAATGATCATCATTCGAATCCATGTTCTCTTCCAATTGATACATATCATACAAATAATCCAGGAACATATTCATTACAACAACAACAACAACAACAACAACAACAAATCGATCCGAATGATGAACATTTATATTTAGGTGTTCATTCGACATCATCACATTCATCATCATCATCACTTTCATCACCAACATTAACAAAAAATAATAATCTTCTACCGTCATCTTCGTCCGGTTCATCATCTTCTAACTATACACATACACATAAGTCTTCATCATCCGGTGGTTATCTTCATCCAACATCAAATGGAACACTTACACTTTATAGTCACCATCATCAACATATTTCACATCATCCTAATTCATATCATCCAGATATTGAAACATTACTTCAGTTAAATACTGAAGATGATGATGTTGATGATGATGATTTTTCAACTCTTGTACATCATCATGGAATAGTTGATGATCAACAACAATTATTATCTTGTTTTCCTAATAATAATCATAATCATCAATTACATTCTCATAATGATACATCAACATCAATTTTACGTACGGTGCTTAACAGACCGATTGTCGGTAAGAATTTTAGTTTAAATTTTAAATGAAAAGAAAAACAATTTTTCTCAATTTTCCTTTAGATATGTACAATCAACAGGTGTAAAATGACCGGTTCTTTTTATAAATACTACTTATAACATATATATAGATATCCCTTGATTCTATAAAATATCACCGGCGATCCTATTTTATTGTAGATATTGTGCAATGTATTCTTTTATGTGAGAGTCGTTTTACATGACATCCGAAAGAATGCATTTTTCCTTTTCTTTTTTTTTCTTTTGTTGCTATTTTTTCTCTACACCATAAAATTATTTTCTTCTTTTTTTTTTTGGTTTTCTTCTTTCATCATTTAAATTTCTGGAGTATTTTCATTTGGTCATCATCCTTTAATCATTCACTTTCAACAGAAATGGATACCGGTGATATATAATATAATGGCAAACTAAGAACAAAGAATAGACAAAAATAAAACAGCGAAAACTTAGAATTTGAAAGTTTTTTTATTTTAACAGTGAGAAAAATCTTCATTATTGTCATTTGTTCTTTCCTTTTTATACACACTCTAATAATATTTTTTGTTTGGTTTCTTTTATATATTTTTTTTTTCGTGTGTCTGTATGTTTGTCAAATTTTTGTTTCTAGTTTTCACACACGCACATATATGCACACGAGTTGCTTTTGGAGTCTTCTGTTTTCTTCTCGTGTTCGCCTTTGTTTCTTTTTTTTTTCGTATTTTGTAAAACTCGATGTGTATAAAATGAGAGTGAAAGAGAAAATATGGCAGGAAGATATTAATATTAAACCCAAAACAGACCACATATTTTTGATATAGAATAGAAACAAGATTTTCATTCGTTTTGATCAGTTTTAATATCGAAAATGAAAAATCTTCGAATCGCCTGAAATTTTCATTCCTAGAGTTCAGTTCGGTTTTTAGGATTAATCAAAATACAGTAAATACGAATGGTACAATCGAGTCATCCTAATAGATTTCACATTGAATATAGACAGAGGCAATCCTGAAGATAAAGTATTTCTTAAGGGCACTCCCCCAGTTTCCGAATTTCTCAAAAACGATTCGACCAAATATTTTCAAATTTTTAGAGTAGATAGATCTCGACTAGTACATCAAAATATGTTATAGATGCAACGTTCACCAATACTTTCTTCTATATGATATAGAGAATACAAGGGCCAAAAATGACTTGAAGTCTGTCCTCCCCCTCCTCCCCCGAAAAAAAAGAAATAGCCATAATTCGTTTTCTATGGCTGAATTCTTTTGCAAAAATAAAAACAATGTCAAAAAATCACCAGAACATTATTTTAAGCAAGAAAGATATATATACACATCGCTTTAATCGTAGTTGTTACACAC